GAAGGGGAAGGGGAAGGGGCATTGTGTGTGTGAAACTGAAAGCTCCTTTCTGCCAGCAGGAGCCTGAATGGCAACCTCCAAGTACTTCATAAATGAAAGGTGGCTTCACCAGCCCCCAAAACACCACCTCTGCACTAAATTGCTTTGGGTTTAAAACCCCTAGAATTTGGAATAGCATGGAAATGGAGCCCAAAGGTGAGGGACTGACATGTTGTTAAGTGCATTCATATCAGTACTCTTGGAAATGTCTGGCACATACCATATGCATATTTCATCTTATGCTTTTGTATAATGCTTGTAAAATATGTTTTGCAGTGCATGGAAGGGCTAATCCAAGTGCAGGGTAAAAGCCACTGCTGCCAGATAGCAGACTTCCTCCCTTGGCACAAACAAGCACTGAAGAGTTGTGTTTGAGTTCCCAAATTCAAACCATACTGGTGCCTCAATGACAGACATTTTCTACACTTCCTACTTCCTTCTTGAAGTAAACACAATTGCACATCTAGTTGAGTAGCTGAAAAAACTATTGGAAATCCTAAGAAAATGTTCTAAGTCAGAACCAGGGTTTGGAAGCTAATAATGCAAATAAATTTGCTTAGAAAAAGAAACCAAAGCCTACAGTTCTTGACATTGTACAAGGCTCAAAATGTCACTGTAAATACATTTTAATCCTGATCCAATGACATACTATATATACTCAGTATACAAGGGGACCTATGTGCCTCTTTCATAGTCCTCTAGAATGCTAAAGAACGATATACTTAAACATAAAACATGTTGCTCTTGGTTACATACCATAAATTGCCATATATCCCCTTCTCTCTTCTCATTCAGATTCTAATGAATGCTGCTCTGCTGGTCAACTATAACACAAGACAGAAAGTACTTTTCCCCCTGTCAAATAGCACTCTATAAAAAATACTATTGTCCTCCTGATTTAGGATACATGGCTAGTAGGGAAAAAACAGCAGAGTTTGGGAAATAAAGTCTCGAGTGGGAATTGTCTCCCACGACTACCCGAGAAGAGAAATGAAATTTTCAGGCACAGCCCTTTCAAACTCCACAATGCAGCGTGTGTGGGGTTTGGATACAACAAAAGGAGGAACCTGAGAGGAAAGTTGTTTTTTGCAACCTCAATAATGAGAGCGAGCCTTGAAATGCTGGCAGTGGAGGAAAGCATTTTCATTAGGTGTGTTTCACTTTCTTCCTCAGTGCAGCAATCCACTTACAGAAGCTGTGTGTTGTTACATGACACATTTCCACTTTCTTACAGAAGTGCCTGTGATTTTTTGAATGCTGTTTGTTGTTACTGCCTTTCTTCTCCAACACAATGCACCAATTTTTAACCTTTTCAGTAACCTAGTGACACCTCTGGGATATTACAGTATTCCTGTCAAAATGTCTGGTCTACAACAATAAACTTTACATTGATGTCTTGCTTTTTGGGAATAATTACACTGTTCCTTAAATGTTACCCTATTTACTATTTGTGCAAAAAGATGACAATAAAATCAATGCAACACAATTCCCAAATGTGCATCAAAGTCTTTTGCAATGTTAATGGATTAGCGTGTCTATAGAGGCATAAGATCATTTTGTCTCGATGCTTGGACTTGCGCGTTATACGCGCTTACCCAAAGACAAACTTATTAACCCTTTTCTGCTGAGCTCATCCCTTCAAAAAGTTAGTTTAATCTCCCCGCATTTGTCAGGATTCCTTTCTTCTTTTTCTTCCACTTTTTTTTTTTCCCCTTTTTTTTTTTTCTCCCTCTCCCTCCCTTTTAAGCCAGGCCCGGGAATGCTGCCCATCGATCAATAGGTGTATGATGAAGGAACTTGGTCCTGCTCCCTCTGACCAGCGGCGATGTTTTCTCAATGATTCCGCAGGAGTCAGAAACTCAACAAAGCGAATCGCGGATGCTGTAAAGGGAGCATGCTGCTCATGTCTGTGACCACTGTATGCAAAGCTTGGCATTAGTCACCGCCAGGCCGCCTCTGACAGCCCTGAAGTGAGGGAGATTAATGTGAGGCAGGGGCACTTTATTATTGTCATTCTGTTCTTTCACACTCTGCCTCTGACTTTCAATTTTGCTCCAGAATTAATTGTCTGCTCCCTACAGTATGACTGATGTAGAAGGATACAAGTAACATAGGCACCTGGTTCTGGCCTTGACAATCTGACTCGTTGTTGCAGGATGTATTGTGTACAGTCAAATTCAGGGACAGACGGGCATCTTTCAAAGAAATCAGCCAATGTTTCTTCTGACTTCAATCAGATTTGACTGTAGATTATCCTTCTCTTAGAACAATTTTTTTCTTGTAGAGATGCTAACAAAATGCCAGTGCCATTATTAAGTACCACTACATGATACTATTGCTCTGCTTTATGCAGCCTCATACATGAGGCCTTTCTCTCCAAGCTTTGCTTTTTATGTTGTAAGGCAGTAAATTAGTCATGTAGCAGTGTTTAATCCCTACCCTCTCAGAGTTAAGCATTGTT